TTATAACATTTATGTAAACAAAACTTGTAAACAACTAATGTAAATATCACAAACTAATAAAGTATATCAGGCAAGGCTCAGCTAGTGTTTTAAAAATATACAGTATATATATATATAAGGGAGAGAGGGGTATTGTGGTGAGGTTAAGAGTTGCTACTAATAAAATTTTTTTAAAAAAAACTCATTTGCTTTCAAAATTAGTTAAAATAATATACTGTATATACTATTTACTTTATAATAATCAAAAAAATTTTATATTTTATTTAATAAATTTATTTAAAAAAACTTATATTTTGACTATTTTAACTTGGAGAGTAATGTGGCGAATGATGCAGATCATCATGTACATGTACATAAGTATAAAATTTGCGAAACTTTAACTCATATTATCATTATTTTTCTTACTAAGCATTTTTGTACGAATTTGTTCTTCTTTTTTTTGTATAATTTCAGCTTTCTTTTGTGCCTTTTCCTTTTCACGATTTGCTCGCTTTTGGAGAGTTTCTTTTTTTTTTTGTTTTATAGCTTCGGCCATATTTTTCGCTAATTCATCTATTAATTTTAGTTCCTGTAGCGAATCGTCATTAGTGAGAAGTCAGGCGAATGGTAATGTCTTCCTTCTTTTTTGTAGCTGGGATGGTTCAGAATTATTAGCTTGTTGAGATGCAGGATATTTAAGTGCCAGTCTTAATGAGCAAGTTTTAGAATTTTTTAATGCTTCTAGTTCTTTTTGTATTAAATCATAACCTTTCTTCTCGTTTTTTAGTATTTCATTTTCTTTTCTTAAAAATTCATTCTTTATCCTTAATCGATCATTTTCCTCAATAATAGTGGCTTGTATAAAATACTTATGGGTTGGTTGAGAAGATGACGTGATACTGGGCAAAGATGGCATCGTATCAGTAGGAAGTATTTGTTAAGGTAAGGTTTTAAATTGTTCTGTTGATAGAGAAGGTCCAAGTTTATCAGAATCAATTGCATTAGGGTTTAAAGGCCAAGTTCCTGTAACTCTGAAAGTATTGGTAATCGCTATAGAAGTATAAGTCGCAAGAAACGCTGGTCCAAGTATTTTAGTGAAAGTATGCTTAGTTGCTAACTCTCCATTATTATTATATAATTTGTCACAGCCTTTACTATACTCATTTTTAAGTTTGGCAAAGGGAAGTTCAGCTAGCTGAAGAATGTAAGTGGTATGAGGTGGAAGTGTGTAGAGCAAAATTTCGTTTTTAGAGTAAAAGTCAACACTTATATAATTTACATGGCTTTTATGACCATCTAATATTAGTAAAACAGGATGACTAGGCAGAATCGATTTGATAAAATGCTTAATATACATCTGAAAAAGATTTTCACACATATACACTGTTTCAGTAAAACCCATAATGGTGCCAGCTGGAGCTCCAGTTAATAAACCTGGAATTGCATGAATACCCTTATAAATAATTAATGGAGGGATGTAATAATCAGCAGCGGAAATCGTTGGAGCAATAGAAATATGATCATGAATATTGCCATGTAAGACCTTATGAATCTGACGGGTACCTTTTGTGTAAAGGACTTTTTGAACCTTAGGAGATATAATAAAGCCAGTTTCATCCATGTTCCAAATATGATCTGCAGTGAGTGAGTTTTCTTGAATTATTTTGTTGAGCTTTTCAAAGTAATCATTTACAATAATTGAATTAGCCCTTTGTGCATGTGCTTCAGATAGGGCTTGAGGTACTCGAAAAGACAGATCAGAGTGATCTTTCATAAAACGTGTCCACCAATCCTTGCCAGGTCCTTTGTCACTTAAAGGATGATTACGTTTGTTACTCTGCACGATTTCCATTACACAATGATTTATTCCTGATTTTGTAAGACCAAATTCTATCTTTTGCATATTCTTGCAATATCCTACTAATTGTTCTTCTTCATGATTACTTAAAACCGTTGCAGGACCAGGACGATTAGGAAATCCATTTTTTTTTGCATGTCTAAGTGTTGTTTCTGCAATTCCAAATTTTAATGCAGTTGTAAGCATGCTAGAGTGTTCAGGACTTGCGAGAGATTCGAGAGTGGTTTTGATAGCATTTCATATGCAATTCGATCAATTTTAGGTGTTTTTTTTGATTTTATTTTTGGTATTTTATTTTTTTATTTTTTAGAATTAAAGGTTATTTATTTATACATGTATATTATGATTTTTTTAAGTATTAGTCACGCGATATTAGTAAATACATATACATACATCATGTTATAACTGCAATACTAATAAATAAATATGTGTTCAGTATTAAATAAAAAAAAAAATTAAATAAAAAAAAAATTCAAAAAAAATTAAATACGAAAAAAATAATAATAATAAATAAAATTAATTTTATATAATGTTTATTTTACATCTCTTATTATGTCCAATATAATATCTAAATATGCATAACAGTTATATAATATCAATAATGCAAATTTTATTTTTTTTTGATAATTCGCCACATTATCCACTCTCACCACAATACCCCCCTCTCTTATATATAAATACTTTTGTTTGATCATTAATTTTTTAAAAATTTTTATGTCATTACATTTATTAATTATAAAAATATAATAAATTTTAGATAAGAACATTTTGATAAAATATAATGTTTAATAAAAATACTTCAGTTTCTTATAATACTTCTATTTCTCAAACTTGATTTATTACTAATGTGTAATGAAATATTGCTGATTCTCACCAGCTTATTTATACTTATGATAATAGTAATTGCTCAGATTTAGCAAAAAGCATTGCAAACATACAAAATACCTTTTTGATAATGAGTAGTAAAAATTGACATTTTTATAGAAGTCAACAGCAATTATCTTTCTGCCAATATCCAAATAAACAAGCACAATCTTAATATCACTCAAAAGAATAATTGCAGTATGGGCCCAATGAAAATCAGCCTCAATTGAGGCAATAGTTTAGAGATCAGCAAGGATCGAGATATCCTTCAAGAGATTGATCTCAATCAAAACAACCTTCTAGAGAATAAAATCAGTTAAGGCAACCTTTAAGAAAATGAAATCAATCAAGACAATTCTCAAGAGAACAATCTGAATCTTGACAGCCTAGACATTTTTCAAGACAACAAACTCCAACCTTTTTGTTCTTAAGATATCGAACTTCTATACATCAACTCTTAAGGCAACAAACTTCATATCAAATAGTTCAAATTATCTCTCACTAATGTGATAGAAATTACAAGACTTCGCTTTTACTTGAAAATCAAGAAAGATCAAGAAAAAAAGATTGACAGATAGTGTGATAAATTTATAATTTTTTGTTTTTTTTAATAACACTTTAATATACATATATAACTCTTTTTAAAAAATAGTAACATTATAAGTGGCAAGTTGATAAATGACTTTTTTTGCAACAACTGCAACTATATCTTTTGGTAAGAAGACTTAGTGATAATATCCAAGAGATAAAGGCTGAAATAAAAAAGAGAGATGAACATGATGAGCTTAGTCCACATGTTATGAATGTAAGTATTTTAATTAATAGAATTTATAGCAAAATCTATTTAATTAATATTTTTAAATAATTTGAAAATATGTTTAAATGTTATAAAATATTTGTTTTTGAGCTATATTTATCCAGACCAAAATATTTTGAAAAATGTCCTGCATAAATATCTAAAGGCAAACTTCTCTAAATATATATTCAATTTTAGCTCTAATTAATTTACAAATTTATTTCATAGTAAATGGTATAGTATGATAAGTATAAATAAAATAATTCAATAGTCTTTAATTATTTTTAAACTAATTCAAACATAATTAAACAAAAGCTTCTGTCAAAAATGAAAAATTTCTAAGGTACAATATTACAAAGCATTAAAACTGCATTGTGGCAAGTCTTTGGTTCAAAATTATTACTATTTTTAAGAAGCCACATTTCATCAGCTGCTATTATAATGTGGAAAAAATCTGTAGAAGTGTCTGAATGTTATCATTTACTCTTTCAATTGAATAGTAATAGAATATTGCAAGAGCAGTATTTTCAGAAACATCAGTTTTCATTTTAAGCAATGAAAATTGTGTGTTTACTCTTGCTGTATGCAATATTTTTTTAAATTCTTGATTCAATAAGTATTATTTGTTCTGAAAAGCAGATAAAACGTTGTATAGAGAACTTTCTCGTAAGTAATTGATTAAAATATAATAAGTTTTTTTAATATAAGCTAATATATTTATTAAATATAAAGATTTTAACAATGATGGTTTCTCTTTAAATTCTGTCAAAGAAATTTTAAATAATGAGTTAAAAAGTGGATTAAATTAGGAGCAATTGCAAAAAACATTAGAATAAGAACAAGAAAAAACCGAATCAAATAGAATGCAGCAAGAAAATTCAATAATACTTTTACAAGAAGAACAAGATATTGTTATGGTGAAATACGGCGAGTCTGTCGCTTCTGTTCTGTCTACGCCGTACTACGTTGGAGAATGGTTTCTCCTCA